TTTTAAATTAAATATATTTTACCTATTTAACTCTTTAAAAGAAATTCTACATGATTTTAAAACTTTTTAACACTCTAAAAATATTAATAGCTACAGCTGCAAATCCCTAATTTCTTCCAACATTACACACACTCCAAACCACATAGTAATTTTTAGACAACCGCCGTTAGTTTTGTTTACACAAAAATTTATATTTAGAATAAAAAAGTAAAAACAAAGTTAATTTCCATTTTATCTAAATTTATTGTATTGCAATTGAAAGAAACAACTAAGAGCGTATTCCGATTTTACCTGCATAATTTAAATTAATTTTTATTTTTCATTAAACTTTAATAGCAGTAGACACACGTGATTCAAAACGTTGTTTATTCACATTTTCTTTAACGTTAGAATAATAAAATTTTAAGAAAATACATGATTTCGCGATAGTTATTTAAAAAAAAAATATAAATTATGTTTTAAGTGAATAATTTATTTAATTAGTTTAAGTATTAAATAATAATACTATTTTTACCTGTTAAAAGAATATAATTATCTAACTAAAGAATGACATTAGAAATCATATATTCTTTATTCAATATATTTCATCACTTTCTTTTAAGTGAATGATTTATAAGCTATAACTATTTTTGTTTAATTCCAATTAAGTTGAACTCATTTAATTTCTTAATAAAAGACAGAAACCTAGATAAAGTTAGCAGCTATTAAGGTTTATTCCATTTGGTTACAGTATTAGTGCTTTATCTTCGTGCTTGTTCTTGACCTGGGCCATGAACATGAACCGCAGGAAAGTTGGTGGCGTGCCATTCTTGTAATTTCACCAAAAGTAAGGGGCAATGAATTGTGTGACGTCAGCAAGATAGCAACCCGCACTACTAACTCATGGGGAAAGATAAATTATTGAATGCTTTTCTTTATCAATGCATATTTATCACTTCAGGTTTTCAGTCAATTTTAACATGAAATTTAATTATAAACAACTTTTTTAATTTATTATCAACCCACAAAATTCTATACTATTAAGTAAAAAATGAAAAACATGAATTACGTAATTTTAATTTTATCAATAATCCAAATTTTATAATTTTTAAGTAAGAGAAAATTTCTCTTCATCATGCAGATATTAAAATCATGGTTTTACACTTAAACACACTTAAATGAAGTTAAACATGTTTTAACAAGATAAAGTTTGAAGTTTATAACTTTGAAACTAAGATTGACTTTGGAAGAAAATGAATGTGTTGGTAAAAAAAAATGATCTTAAACAGAGGGAAATTTCAAATCAAACAATAATTTTGCGATGGCCACCACCACTCCTGCTGAGAACAGACACCTATGTTTCATTTCACAATCCGACAAAGCTTTCTCTACTGAGTGGCTCCCAATGTAATATTCCCCAAATTCCCTCCTTTTTCATAACCCTTTTCTCTTCCTCTCACTTCCATTTATTTTCTCATAAGGGTCATCAGAAAGAGAGAGAAAGAAAACACCCCACACATACAGAACAGAACAAAGGAAGCTGAAGAAAGAGAAAGCACATCACAGTTCCACAGAACCTGAACGTAAACACAGACACCAACGATCTTACTCTCACTTCACCTCACCAACTAAGCCACACCCTTTTCATCATCATCATCATCATCATCTTCTTCTTCTTCATCTTCTTCTTCTCAGCAACTTTATCTTTCTTTCTACCGTATTCTCTGCACAAATGGAGGTCATAGCTCTCTACAAGCTTGAATCTCGTGGGATAGTGTAGTCCCTTCGAGACCTTTCCTTTACGACTTTGTAACTCTCGAGCTCGTTCTTCTTCCTCTTCGTGCTCTCCTTTTCTCTTTACCTTCCTCTTTCGCTCTCTAGAACTTCCTCTGCCGGAGGATGGCCATCTCGTGCCGGAAACTGACCGTCGTGAACTTGGATCCGGAGAGAAAGCGAAGCGGGGGGTTGAGGACTAAACAGGCGGGGAGAGGATCGTGCCGTGGTAGTTAGTTTTTCGGGAATGTGCTTTTTGCTCTCTCTCTCTTTCTTCGTGAATGAATGCTAGTGTGACTCCATTGCGTTGGAAAAAGGATAACTTTTTACCGGTTTCGGAACCCCTTTTGCGAAAAACCAAATGGGGTTTTTGCTCAAAGAGGTTTTGAGGACTCTGTGCTCAAGGAATCGCTGGTCTTATGCCGTGTTTTGGAAGATCGGTTGCAACAATTCCAAGTGAGTTTCAAATGCCTTTTCTTTGTGTCTTGTGCTCTCTTCTCTCTCTCTCTCTCTCTCTCCTCTCTATACTTTTAGCTTGTGAGAAATTCAGGGAGAATCAGGTTGGCTTGTTGGGTTTTTTTTCGGTTGGATGTGAGTTTGAATGCTCGTACTTTCAAAGAAGGATCTCAGTGTTAGATTTCTATTTCCGGGGTTGCTTTCTTCCACTCTTTTTTCGAGATAAAGGCCACACGGTTAGTTCCTGTTTTGGAACTTTATTTGGGCCTTTGTTGCTTCTCTTCTGTTTTGTTTTCAAGAATCTTTTGTTTCTTTAAAACATAAGTTTGTTTTTTTAACTAAAAAGAAGTTTATTTGCCTTGATTTGTAAAGGCAATATCTATTGATTTCCGTACTTGTTTGATTCTGTGTTGTTCTTATCTCTTGTGTCGTTAATCAAAATCTTACCCTTTTCTTCTTGAGCTAATTTGAAACGTTGTCGGTTTAATCTTATAATCTCTCTATTTAATACTAATCACCATGATGCTTTGAGTATTCTGTTGAAAAATCTGTTAAATTTTTAAGCTTTAAATAGTTAAATTACTGAATCAATTACAAGTGAGAAAAAGGGTTTACTTAGCTCAGGATCTTCAATTTGAAGCTTGTAATTGTGAAAAGAATTATGAACTATAATTAGTAGTTTGTGCTTGGTTTTATGTATTGTTTTGTAATGTAGACATTAACTACAAACATAAAAAGCTGCTGTTTTATTTATTTATTTTTTCCTTAATCTCCTGTAAACCATTTCCTTTGTTTTTTTTTTGTCCTTCGTTTGCTTTCCCACAATGTTTTCTAACCTGCCAGGTAGATGCCAAAATATTATGCTTTGTCTTTATACCCTGATTGCAGCTATGGTTTGTTTGTTTGAGTTAACTGAGTATGGTTTACTTGTCAGGCTGTTAATCTGGGAAGATCACTACTACGAACCCTTGCCATCTCCTTTCCCTCCACGTACTGTTGGGATGTCTAATTTTCCATACCGAGACGGGGAAGGGTGCTGGTTTTCTTCTGAGTCCCTCACTGTGATTCCTGAGGAGGACAGAAGTGTCGGTGGATTGGATTAACACCATGATGGTTTTTTGAATAATTCAGTCAATATTGCTGGAGAAGGGGTTGGTCCTCCCCTATTTTGGCCTTTTCATTGCTTATCATTATCAATATTTGAAGTGTTTTTCCTTCTCATTCCCATCTTACCCAATTGCCATCTTTTTGGTTGTTAACCAGGATGGTTGGACGGGCCAACATGTACATGAACTATCAGTGATTTCTTATGAACAATTTCAATAGAGATGCATATTCACCAGAAGGTATGGAGTTGAATTCTATTTCCCCAGGATTATGAGCTAATAGTTTATGATTAAATATTTCATTCCCTTGTGAAGTTTTGATGGTAAGGCAAATAAAGGTTTCGATATCTTTCCATTGGTCTTTGGTTCATTTTTCTAAATAAGAATTTTTTTTTAGCTCAATCTTTTGGTCAAATGGTGTAATAAGAAAGTGGATGACTGAAGCTTCTTTTATGTGATATAGTGTATTATTTCAATAATGGTCAAAGGCTTGGAGTAGGTGAACATATGACCTTCTTTTTATTTCTCTTTATTTGCTGTTTTATTTTTAGTTATAGTCTGAGTTTGCATTTACCAATTTCCTGCTGGAATGCAGGTTTTGTGATTTTTTTGTGTATCTCACAGTACCAATTATGTATCCTAGAGTTGGATTTTTATTACTGTTTCTTACTTTGGACTACTCTTGTTTGCAGCAGTAGCCAGTTATTCCTGTGCTTCCTCATGGTGTTGTTTTCAATTTGGGGTTTCTTTAGTTCCATTAAGCCTTTCCTCAAGCTTTCTGTAATTTTAAAGAAACTTAAGACCATGTCTGAAATGATATTTTGATGGAAAATGGGATTATGATGAGAAGTCACATTCTTTGGATCATAAATAAGTGCTTTAGGTCAACTTAAAAGCCATATACCATACATGGATCACACCATTTATGGCATGAATGTGTCCATCCTTGAAAACTGAAAGAATGGCATGAGTTCTTTTGCTTAGAATGTGTCTATCATTAAAAGTTCATGATTGTGAACATACCCGAGTTTTCTGGTAACTGAATATAGATACATGCAGCCAAGTAAGTTTGGTGTTTGTCCGCTCCCCGATGTTAGCTAATGCAGCCATTCAATCTTGTTACTGCAGATAATGGAAGATGTTGGATTTGTGAATGATGTGAAGAACTTGATCTTGCAATTGGGATGTGTACCTGGTGCCCTTCTTTCTGAAGATTATTCAGCAAAAGTTTCGAGTGAAAGACTTGGTGTACCTGTCACTGCTGATACACCAGTCATTACTTCCAAATGCACTCCCTCTGCAGCTAATGGCTCCAACCAACTAACTAATTCTACTATTGCTTCAAGGTCTGTGACTCCATCACCTCATCCGCCAAGGGAGAAATAGATAATTACCAGGGTTCTTGCATTGACTTCCTCAAACCTATGACCAAACCAAATATTTAGATAGCATTTGCCAACCAAAGTCTCATTCAATGGTAAAAACAATGGCCTATAGCCAGCAGAAGAAGACGGTCGTCCATACCGAAGCTAAAGTGATACCGACAAATTTTGATTCATGTATGCAACATCCTTCTGCTTATAATTCCAGATCTGCATTCAATGAATTAGCTGGCTTCAATCAATTAAATCTGAGTTGCAACCTTAACTATATGGAACAACAAACATCAGGTGTTGGAAGACAGAGTCACGTTAATCCCAACATGAATCCATCAAGTGCCTCAAACATGCCTCAACTGAAAACAGGTGTAGGCAAAATTCTTGAACAGAATCAGAGTTCTGGTGGCGGTTCACTATTTGGAGGAATCCCAATATGTGGTGGGAGTAATCTTTTGAGGACAAATATGATTAACTGCTCTGTTTCAAATTCTCCCAAAGTACCCACTTCTGAATTTTCTGGAAGTCACAAGATTGAGTTTGGGCTTCAAAATAACAATTCAACAACTGATACTGGGCTCTGTTCTGTGCCTAATTTCTGTAACCAATCAGTTACCAGTCACATGAATCAAGAAAACTCTGCTCAGAAGAACCTTCCCATTGATTTAAAGCATGCTTGTGATGCTTTCGTTTCAACTGATCAAAGGATACATGATGATTTGCTTCATACCGCTCTTAATATTCCGTCTCTTCATCTTGAGGAGAATGAGCCTATGGGTGATAATATCCCTGGTTTTGTTCAAGATTGCCTCAATAAAGATTTTACTAGTGTGGTGAAAATGAATGTTAAGCATGAAGAGACTTATAATCAACTTCCATCAGGGGATGATCTCTTCGATGTTTTAGGCGTGGATTTGAAAAGGAAACTACTCAATGGAAACTGGGATAATTTGCTTGCAAGTGATTCAGAGGCCAACAGAGAGCGTCTAGATAAAAAGGCAACATGCATGAATTTGCCTGGTGTACGTCCTGATAACAGCTATTCAGTTAAGGAAGCAATATCAGACAGTGGGATCTTCTCAGGAACGGGCACTGACCACCTCTTAGATGCTGTTGTTTCAAAAGCTCAATCTGCTCCAAAACAGAGTTCTGATGAAATGTCTTGCAGGACAACATTGACAAGGGTTAGTACTGCCTCCGTTTCCTCTCCTGCCTGCAACCAGGTTCTGTCTGATCATGTCCTGAAGGGATTGTTTGATTTTCCCAAGAACGGGGCTAAAAGAGCTGCTGGGGAAACCAGTTCTCTTAGGTCTGGGTGCAGCAAGGATGATGCTGGAAACTGCTCTCAAATGACTTCCATATATGGTTCTAAGCTTAGTTCATGGGTTGAGAATGGTAGTAGTGTGAAACGTGAAAGCAGCGTTTCAACTGGATACTCTAAGAGACCAGAAGAAGTTTGCAAATCAAATAGGAAAAGGCTTAAACCTGGAGAGAATCCTAGACCTCGCCCTAAAGATCGCCAAATGATTCAAGATCGTGTTAAAGAATTAAGGGAAATTGTGCCAAACGGAGCAAAAGTATGTAGCCTTTCTTGTGCTCTCGTACATATCAGTCCTGAACTTTTTGTTTACTTATCAGATCTTGGTGCTGACTTTATTTTCCTTAATTTCTTATTATAATTCAACAGTGTAGCATAGATGCACTTCTGGAAAAGACCATCAAGCATATGCTTTTCCTGCAAAGTGTAACAAAGCATGCTGACAAGCTGAAACAGACAGGGGAATCTAAGGTATAAATATCATCCACTGCTTTTTTTGTCAGTATGTTAGATTCAAGCAACTTATCTAGTTATGGTATTGCGATTGTTTTCGTTTTCAACAGCATTGTATTGATATGTTGAGTAAAAGAAGGATGAATAGCAGATTCAATGTTTTGCCTCTAGAAAATACTGAAAATTCATTCTTTCCTGAATATGCAGATTGTTAGTAAAGAAGGTGGGTTGCTATTAAAAGACAACTTTGAAGGAGGAGCTACATGGGCATATGAGGTTGGCTCGCAATCAATGGTTTGTCCAATCATTGTTGAGGATCTTAATCCACCTCGTCAGATGCTAGTAGAGGTAATAATAGAAGCATTATAATTTTGTAACATCCTTATCCATTAAGTGTAAGTGTTGGAGTCTAGATTCTCTGTTGGGTTTTTTGGCGCCGTCATCTGCCGAACATTAATAATACACTGATGTTGGAACTTTAAACATCTTTTTAATATATTTTAAAACATCAAAATCAGTGTCCATGAGCATATTTTGAAGACACAATATAGGAGCAGCACAGAAAAACCCAGCAGAGAACTCAAATTCGTAAGTTTTGCCTTAATCTGTTGTGTTTGCTTGGTTTTTGCAGATGCTTTGTGAGGAACGGGGTTTCTTTCTGGAAATAGCTGACTTAATCAGAGGATTAGGATTAACCATCTTGAAGGGAGTTATGGAAGCTCGTAATGACAAGATCTGGGCACGCTTTGCAGTTGAGGTAATACACTGTCAAGGGAAATAGATGATCATAACTCACAAGTATTATTATGGTAGTGACGTGATAAATTTTGTTTGCAGGCCAACAGGGACGTGACGAGGATGGAAATATTTATGTCACTGGTTCGTCTTTTGGATCAAACAGTGAAGGGTGGTGCATCTTCATCGAATGCAACTGATAATAACAACGTGATGATGTATCATCATTCTTTCCCACAAGCTACCCAGATAGCAGCAACTGGTAGACCTAGTAGTTTGCAATGAAGCATCATCCATTGTAGTTTCTTGGCATCAAATTCACTCTAAAAAACTTAAGGTGAAGATAACTTAGTGAAGGGCATCTCAAATGCATTTGTATTTGTATTATGTACATGCATGTTTCCTCCAGTGCCTTCCAAAGCCAGTGTTGGCAGTGTCTGCTGGTGCTTTAGGCAACTTAGATAACTTGCATTTTTTCTTTCTCTTGGGAGTAATGCCACTTGTCACCAACTGGGATAAGGCTTTTATTGATGTTTGTTGATGAGTAATGCCATTGGTATTGTTGTATAGAAACTGTAGGATTTGCAAAGGGCGTTCACGAGTTTGACCATGGAGCTCTTGCATGTGTTGCTCTTTTATGACCATTTTTCACCATGTTTTTTCTTTCTTGGAGTGGTGATATTGGCTGTTATAATATACAATTTGTATTGATATCAGAGCTTTGTGTGATTTGTATACCAGTCTATGCTAAATGACTGTAATCATGCATGCATGCATGAATGTTTGTGTTTTGCTAAGGATCAAGGTAATCTTAAACTCTAAGAAGTGATTACATAACTTCAGTTTTTTTAATGTCAGAATAACAAGTTATTAATACTTGATTTAAAATTGAGGTAGGTTGATTAAGAATCCAAAACTTTTGGAATAATAACTATACATCTTATATCTTATGATGGTTATTTGTTGGATTTATTATGTTATTTGTTATTGGATAACTTATAAATGTTTAGTTTTATTTAATATGATTAGTTGTTTCTATTTTTCTCCTATATTAATTACGTTTACAAACAATATAGTTTGGGATTTCTGAAGTGATTTCGTTCTTACAGTTATCAGTGACACATAAAATATGCACTTGTGTTTGGCCAAAACTACAAATGTACAGTGTTGGGCCGTTTTAATATAACAACGAAGAATAATTTAAATATTTAAAATTTAATTCAATTTATTTAGGAATGGGAATTTTTTTAATTGAAATATCAATGACGTCAAATTAACCTAAATTATCTTAGGCCTGAACTATGGAAGGAATTGAGTTAATTTGTGTTTTGGGTATGAGGTTGAGGTACATTAAATACTTATACAATTTCTTATGAGATGTTGTTTATTTTCTAATCTTTGTCTTTATTTATCTGGAGGTCTATTTGTCAAAGGTTTTCTAATGCTTAAATTAGTAAACTGTTCATATTGGAGTTCAAAGTATTGGTAATAAATGCATAATAAATGTGATAATCTACTTTTTACTTTTGATTTATATTTATAGTTTCTAGCATGAGTTTGAGATTAGTGAAATTTTAATCTCGGTTCAATCTTAGTTCAATTGCTTCTAATTACTATTTATCTTAATTTTTGTAGAAAACCTGTTTGTTGACTTAAGGTCGGACGTCTGTTCCTAGTCGTTCGGTCCTGCATTTTGATTTTATCACATTCAATCATTACTTAGCTGCTTGCTTCTCCCGAGCCGTTCGATTTGTTTGGTGTGGAGTATCATGTATGACTGTCCAGGCCATATAGTACCATTTGTTTTTTAATTGTCTAACGAATTGTTAAGCAAAATAAATTAACAAGACAGATAAAGAAAGGAGGAAAATAACACAAATGGAAATTTGATTAATTAAACTGAACAAGTTTTCAAAATCTTCTAGTCTTAAAAAAGTAGATTTGTGATAAAATTATATTCTTTTATTAGAAAAATTTAGGTGAGTTGGATTTCGAGGACTCATGAAGTTCACGACAAACCTGAAAGCTCAAAATGTGTTCTTTCAATTACTTATGGATAGATTACTCACTTTTAAGATATGAGTTTATTTTATTTTATTTTTTATCAGATGGACCCATCTTTTTTCATCTCCATTTAAAAACCTTTAATAAATGCAAAGTCCCATTTGTTATATATAAATAATTTATTGAATTATTTTGTAATGAAATTTCAAAAAAACTTTATCCTTTTGAAAAGAGTTTAATTGTTATTTTTTTCTAATTTCGTTACAGTATGTCAAGTTGATTTAACCTTTTAAAAAAGTTTCAATTTTTTACACGAAGTATGGACAAAATTGAAATGTTTTAAATAATAGACCAACTTGATGTAACGAAATTAAGAAAAAAAAAACAATTAAACCCTTAAAATATTAATTGTTAGTGGAGAAAATGGTAAAATTGTTTTTCTTATTACTTTGTAGGAGGTGATTTATTGCACAAAGTAGATTTACTTGTTCTTTTCTTGTACAAACCATATTTTTTACATTACTACATATTAAATTTTTCAATACTGGAATCAACACTCACGAGATTTAACTATATGATCTTAAAGCAAAGTATGTTTCTTGAACACTAATTTAATTCTAATTGAGAAGCTTAAGAATAAATTGAAAAGAGAGATTAGAGAAAATAAGTCAGCAGACGCAGGTGGCAAATGGATGTCCCAATCAAAAAATTGTCTGTCTAAAGTAAATGTTTTTTTAGGTTATTGTTAAAAGTGAGATCTTCAATCTTAGTGGTTGTCATTATCAAGTTTATACCAAAACCCTATGCGCCGATCAAGCATTTGCCTAACCCTACTTTTGAAAACACTAATCATGCTCAAACCTTCTTCGTTTTGAAAACAACAAATATAGTGGCGACACATTCATTTCAACAAATATATACATAATATTTGTTATTGAGTGAATTTAACGTCAATTTCTTACATAAATCTTGTACAACATTTATTTAATGGAAGGCCACGTGAAATTCATCCAAATAAAGAATCTGGCTACAGATGGTATCAAGGAATATATTGTCAATAATCCTTTTTAAAATTAAATAAATCATAGAGCAAAGTTGTATGGCAAGCAAGCCCTAGCTTGAAATCTAAGATTAGATTATATGCTGCAATGTTCAGTTGATGTTTCTACCATAAATCCAGATACCAAGGAATCACCAACACTTTTGTTTCAATACCATGCTTAATCCTCCTTCTCAACCAATTATAAGTATTTTATGTAGGAGCGTAACTTAGTAGTTTTTTCTAATAATATAATTAGGGGTTAATATTGTTGGTAATTAAGAAGGCTGTAGTTATTTCATATAATTTGTTAATGTGCGATGTAAAGGTGGTGAAACATGCTTGTTAGAGATAGAGAAGTTCATCCATACTACTTTGTCATCACCTGTCGATAATGAATTTTAGTAACTTGACATGAATAGCAGACATTAATTAAACTATTCTTAATTTTAGTATATTATTTTGGTTTCTAAAATTGTTGATCACAGTCCATCATTCTCTCTGTGCAAGTAACGCAAAAGAATTCATTTGTGAGTTTGAATATAATAAACAAAAATACGAAACTTGAATAATATTTTAAAAAATCATTCATTACTTTACAGTTTTAGCTTACAAATAATATTATAATTTCTTACGAATTAATTCATATTTCATTCACGTTGAATCTCTTCCGTAAATCTCAAAAGCCCAACCTGTATTACTAAAAAAGGTTATTGCTATCACATCATCATGCACTTTGCCAACTTAGTTTTGTATAATAGATATTATAATATGAATTCACACTGCGTTAGTAGTTTATATACAATGCATGTTATAAAGTAAATATTTTTTTATTCCATGAGCTAATACAAATTTCTCTGTCTAACACGATCGAGAGTGTGCATTATTATTTTTTGCATTGCAACTTTTTGAACATTGGAAGCATTGACGAGTCATGTAATAATAACTTCCAAGAAACTCACTAAACAATGATGTGTGTAATGTATCACAGGGTAACGACAAGTAATCTAACATTCATCTTAAAATCTATAAATATAGATTTGAGGTAAAAAGATAGATAACTGTATTTATTGACATTAACTACTGAATTTATCGAATCTTTAGTGACTTGGGTACTAGAATATACTTTTTACATGTAACCTTTCCAATTGACCAAACAGTTTGAATGACGAACCGTGACGAAAATGAACACATGACATACAGAATTTGAAAAATATATAACTTCAGTCCCATAATCGAAACAAAATGAAAGATCAAACAAGTTTATGATGGAAAGTGGCACAACAAAATCTCAGCAAGTGATGGTTGTTTGATTCACATGTTCCCTCTCTAATGACCACCCACACACACATAACATATCCAATTTTCCCTACATATATGACACCTTTAGAAGTTTACAGAAGGGAAGTGCAAAAATAAAAAGAACAACAACATAATGTGCTTATATTACATACATATATGTAATCCGTATGTAACACATAATTATATACGGATTTTTGAGGTTACATACGGATTTTGGTCGTATGTAACAATGTTTTTTCTTGTAATGTGTTATCACGAGGTGGTTATGCATTACTTGAGAGAAAGATGAGAAAGAGTCGAGCATATGCCTTAGAACTTGAGTCCCGCGACCTAGCATCTGCACCTGCTAGGTACGAGATGTGAAAGGCTTCTCAGATTAAGTCTGATGGGAACATGACAGCTGCCTTGATCTCACAAAGAATTGTAAGTACAAATTCTAAACATTGATTGGTTGTGTATTTATCATCCTATGTGTTTTATGTAACAAAGTTCTTTGTTATATGCATGATGAGTTGATTGAGAGCAAACTTAGGGTTCCTTTGTTGGCCAAGGTAGGGACGACATTCTAACAACCACCATTGGAAAGCCCAAGCACCCAGGGTGTGTGCGTGGGGTTGGAGAGGCGATTAGTCTTTGTGACTACTTTGGCCCTACACAAAAAAAACACTGAATCCATGCGTCAGGAGACACTGATGAAGATGAATCTTCAGTAGGAGGAAAGGCTCAACCAAAGAATGAGATCTATGAAGCAACAATTCATGAAGCAGCTACAAGAATAAAAAGAAATCCAAAGAGCGCTTGAAGAAAATTTGCATTCCATGACCTAGAGCACCATGGGGTTTCCCACTGAAGCCCCAATTGCACCTCGGGTAAGTACAAGAGGATCATGCTCTATTGTAGACCCTACTGAGTACAGTGGTCAGTGTGAGCTATTGGTTGATGGGGATCCGCCATGCGTAGTGGCTATCAGACGAGTAGTTGAGGGAGGACAAACTATTCATGGTGCTCCCTTATTACCCCACCACGTGTAGGTGACGATTGACAAAGTTCGTGATCCCTAGGCTTAGGTGCATGTACCGACTTCAGAAATTCATTTTGTGTGGGAGGCCATAGAAACATTTATAACCTGGCTTAAAGCATTGATCATGTCAACATTGCTACACCACAAGTATTATATTTCTATTATTAGTATTTCTATGTTAAATTTATAAATATTGATTAATAACTTTGAAAATTTTAATTTCAGTTCATACGTCCTC